TTTTTTTTTTATTATTGTCTCTGTTGAAATTATCTATCCCCAAACCTCAGCACAAAAGCATAGGAATTGAGGAAACAGGCAAATTTCTTTTAAAAGTCTACAGTTTTCTTACATTAACAACTGTAGTGTGTATAATGTTAATTTTTTCTTAGTGTGTCCTTTCATCTAGTAGCATAAATTGAGATTCGACTTATCGTGAGTGGAAAGGATGTTCATATGCAAGCTACTTTCTGGTGTGTGTGTGTGTCCAGGTTTATTTACCCATAGAAAAGAAATACTGTTTCCAAAAGACAATTCATTATCAATAATAAAAATGACCTCATTATTCCAGCCACCTTCAGTTCATCATACCAACACTATAAAGTTAGCACTACACCACACCAGCCACTGTTCCTGGCTTGCTAGCTGTGTGTCTATTTATTTTCACACATGTGTATACATATGCATGTATAATATATGTGCAATTGCACATGAGTATAAGCAAGCCTTATGTACTATATACATATGTGCACATGTATATACTCTTGTTCAAATGTGTATAAACACATACATTGTTTTCATAAAATAGAAGCTACCCCAAATTGAGTTTGTGCTTCAATTTGTATTTTCAGTTTCACTCTGCTTTTAAATATATCTAGGCAAAAATGAGGTCTTGTCAGCTGTCCCTGAGCGCTCTTCCATTATTTGTGTCATTATTACTGCTGCATAATCTGATAATAAAAAAACATGGTGCTGTAACAAATGACTTCCCAGCACTGACAGTTACTGCAGTGGCATTTCGGTACTGATGGGAATTTTCCCATCAAGCTATCTGGCCAGGTTTACATAAACTAAAAAGGAAATGGTTGCCACTGTTCACATTAAATGCAAACTGTTTGCTGTAACTTTGTCTCAGTTTCATTTTACTATAAAACCTCTTTCATTCCTAGATGGTGAAATTTCATCTGTTCTACATTGAAAAAAAAAGATATTCTGAAGTTTCCTCTGTGTCATTCTTGCTTCTACCTTGATAGGGGCTTTAAAGGATAATACTTTTTAAAGTTGTGTTAGGTTTTGATTGCTTAAATTTTATGGACTTTTAAATTTTTATTACAGGGAGAGGCTTGTTATGACTTTTTCCCAGTGGACTGCTAATAGAAGTTAGCTTGTCTAGCCCATGTGCTGGATGCTGTCAGTATCAGACTGCCTTTGACTTTCACACTTCTCTGGGGACTAGTAATTGTTGTGTTCAAACAGCCTGTAATTGTGATCCCGCTGGCTTTCTCAGTACGCTTCTGGCTATTAGAATCATTAAACAACTCAGCACCTGTTAACAGCATTGTAAATATTCAGCCCTGCTTGTGTGCAGGTTAAGTCCAATATAGAGAAATCTTACAGAGCTCAGACTCATAAATTAGAGTTTCTGACAAGTCAATTATTGTGAAACTGCGTTTCTCTGTGAAAGAAATGAAATAGCATGCTGACAAAAGGTAGGCTTTCTGTTTGTAGCAGAGGAAGATAATGACTTGACGATTAGACACAGTGAGCACGAAACCGCACTCTTCCCGTTAGCTGTAATTAAACAGTTGTGTAAAAATCGCTGTTTAAATAACCAGTAAATTATAAATTTTGTACTGTGGAGAGTACAACATGAAAACAGACCTTTTTAGTTAGCTGCCACATGCTTTTTCAAGTTAGTAAGTGATTATTGAAAGTAATGATTATGTCCTTTTACTTAAGTTAGAAACTGGGAAGTAACAAAGTTCACTTATATGAAGAATGGGAGCATGTTGTGCTCCCAATCAGACATCTCAAAATGTTGTGATTCCTAAAACATAATTGTGTTACATTTATATTGTTTTATAATATCTCACAAATTATGTATCTAATTATGATGGAAAATATACTCTATAGAATTTTTTAAATGTTTTAAGTGGTCTTACCTTCAGACCCAATATTAAACCACAGAATGTGTTTTAGAAAGGTCAGTGAAGTTCAGTTCCTTGGACTGAATTGTGTTCTTCCAGTTGTACCAATGAGAACTTCGAAAACATTTAGAAAAAAATAGGAATGAGTATCAGTAACAATTTTAAATATTTCCTGTTAGAATAAGTTGATTGTTCAGTGGGTTGGATTGTGAATAATGCTTTGTGAAATAATTTATATTCTCAGAGACAGCATGAATTTGAAGTTTTTTCTCTTAGCAATTGATTTTAAGTAGTTACAAAGTGTTTCCTTCCTCCACCACCACCACCACCACCACCACCACCACCACCACCACCACCACCACCATGTTATCTGGAGGAAATTAATCTTCAAAAACACGTAGAAGCAAAATTCACCACCAAAACAAAATTATAATGAATAAAGTAAAATAAAATGAAATATAGTGAATGAAGCAAAATTTTTGTTGAAAACATCTATCTTAAGGAGATTCATAATTGATGGCCTTAAATATTTTTACATCTAACATTTTTATTATAGTATAAAATGTCAAGTTGGCATTCCACTTAAATATTCAGGATAACAATTATTAGTGATAACAGTATTCATGAGCTTTTTTCCATTGAATAACCTAATAAGCTTTTAAATAAAAATGGAATGTTAATTTTTGTTTCATGGTAATATTGTTTTCCATAAGTTTAATTGCATGAAGAATGTTTTCTTAGTTTAAAAGGATTCTACTCATGCATTGTCTTGCATGCATTATTTTTAATTCAGGAATAACTATTAAATTGAATTGGTGCAGACAGTTGTTGATCGTATTGGGAAAGTATATAGGCTTAGCAAACCTAAAGAATGTCAAATACAGAGGGAGTCCTTACATTGCAGAAAATATGAGGTTATCTTATTTTGGGGATTAAAATTAGAAGAGAAACAGATTTTGATAAGCTGGAAATTTATGTACTTGTAATACTTCAAGTATCCACAATTTTTTATTATTTTATCTTTTATGTGTATGATGTTTTGTCTGCATGTATGTTTGTGAACCATGTGTTTGCATGGTACCTGTGGAGGCCAAAGGGGTCTTCATTGAAAATGGGACATTGAGGTTTGTGCAAAGAGGCTGTTTCAAAAGCAGTAGTCTTTCCATGAACAAACAGTTACTGTGTCTTGTTTCATGATATTTTGCTAAACAAAATCTAATCCTTTACTGGTTATTCCTCAGTGAAGACTTGGATGAATGTAGACATTTCAAATTCTGATGTCTTCTGATTTTCAGTGGAGATGCATTGTAGTGCTCTTCATCATTTGCACTAACTTCTCTTTCTATTTAAAATTTATCCCTCACTCAAATATCCTTAAATAATTTTTAACTTTTGGTGAAGTTTAAAATGTCACTGCAAGGATCCATCCCTGGAGCATGAGCTGGCTTTTTGGAGCCCACTACCTATGCACTACACCTTGTACAGCCTTGATGCAGGGGGGAGGGGCTTGGGCCTACCCATGGGAGGCCTTACCTTGTCAGAGGAGGTAATAGGGAGTGGGTTGGGGAGAAGGCTAGGGGGGCGGGAGGAGGGGAGAGAGGGGGATCTGTGGTTGGTATGTAAAATGAATAAAAAATTTCTTAATTTAAAAAAAAAAAGTTCCTGCAAAGAATCATCTTTGCAGTGCTTCTCTACCCTCTGTGATGGTGATTTCATATGGGCCTCTTTCATTGGAGGTTGTTGACAGTTGTTTCCAATACTGTTGAAATATAGAAGTGGCCATGGTGGGATTTTATTGAAAAGAGTCTGTAAGCCTCTAAGACTACTTTCAATTTCACTCTTGTTCTTCCTTGGAACAAGAAGAAAGGTAGGATATTATATATGTTCTCCATGCTGATTCCAGTGGAATTTACTGGCAGGGATTAGGAAATTACCATGATTGTTCTTGTAACCCTCACTTCTTGGTTTCTTCCCTGGTACAAACTCCTTGTGGTTAGGGATTTGCCTTTCATTGTTGCAGTGAAGAATGAATGATCAGATGATTCTTACAGCTTTTATTTGGATAATATGCAGAGCTGGGCCTTTGTGTTTTCTGTGCATTACAAATTAGAATTCTTTATTTTAGCTTGATGATTTCCTTTCCAGACGTTAGATCAGCATTTGTTGCATAAGCACTAGGAGAAAAATTCTCAAAATTTCCTAGAGGCACTCATCTACCACTAAGATTAGTAGTTCTGATTGTTTTGTAAAGTTGTTAAGAGTGAATTTTATAATAAAAGGGGAGTGTATTTGTATGTGTGTGTGTGTGTATTAGGGTCCGAGGGAAGCCCCCAAGAAAGAACATCAGTCGTGTATGCAATTTAGCAAGAGCATTTATTTCCAACATAGTGAGGAAAGATTAGTCTGGGAGCTGATTCATTGGAGGCTGTAGTGGTTAGGGGCCCAGTGGTGATGGGGGCATCTAGTGTCTGGGGGCTTGTTGAAAAGAGGGTAAGGAAAGCTATCTTTAGCAGAAGGGGGGGGCATCTGCTGAACCAGCAGGAGGCTGGGGGGTGCACCTGTTGATTGGTTACCTCTAAGTTGTGGTTTTCCTGAGAATTGCTTGCTCAGCTCCAGCCCGTTCCAGTGAATGGAAACTAAGGTCTGGTTCATATCAGGGCTGCCAGGGGAGCCTGTTAAAGCCCTGGTTTGGCCACCCGATCCTCTCATTTGTATACACATATGTGTATTATGTGTGATTTCAGCCAAACTTTGCATTTCACATTTTCTAAATTCAGAGTATAAGGCTATTTTGGAATAGATGGATCATCTATCATGTTTAATATAAGGAAGTGTTTTTTCAGGTGATGTTACATTTTATCTGCCTATTTTACATATTTTAAATGTGTTATCTTTTTCATTGGTGTTGGCAACCTTTAGTATTGGGCCTTTGACCTATAAAATGGGAATGTTAATCGTGTTTGTTTTAATTTTTCATTACATTTTTTTATTTGCTATAAATTCGTGCTTTTAAAGTTCTGAAAAGATCATAAAGCTATTGTGACAGACAATTCTAGTAGACACATCTTGAAACTGACCACACTTTTTTCCTAGCTACTACAGCTTGGGTGACGTCAGCCAGGACTCCATGAACAAGTTCCTGTCACAGCTGATCGAGAAGTCTCTGGTTGAGTTGGAGCTTTCCCACTGCATTGAAGTTGGAGAGGTGGGACTTCCAGCCAGCTTTTGCCAGTGTGGGACCGGGGCTTGTGCTGTTGAAGTTTGCAACAAATCTGCTACAGTAGCAACCACAGTGAACTATTACTCTCTGAGGAATGAGGATCTCCCTGAACATTTCACTTACCTTGATTTTTCTTTATTTGAAATAGGATAACCGCAGCATAGAGCCACTAGCATGTGGCCGAATTGCCTCCTATTACTATTTGAAGCACAAAACAGTCAAAATGTTCAAGGACCGTTTGAAACCTGAGTGCAGCACTGAAGAATTGCTTTCAATTTTGAGTGTGAGTTTTACATTACTATGGTTTATATATTTCATACCTTCTCTTATAATTTGGAACTTACATTATTTCCAGGTCTGAAAATTTTACCTGAGAGTGTTCAGGGGGCAGTCATCCATCCTTCAAACAAGGTTTCTTTCAATTTTCATATTTAGGATAATCTTGCAACAAATGTAAAACCATCTGACTGGTCCAGAGCAGGGTCCTCCTGAGTAGGATAAGTGCTGTTGAGATGGGAGCCCAGATTAGTGGTCTACTGGGCACTCCGCAGAGCAGACCTGATGACTCAGTGGCCCCTCTAGCTGAGATGGAAAGCCTGCTCTTTGTTTACTTGGGTGGTTCCTGTTGAGTACTATGGTGTTACTACGGAGCCTTTTCTTAAGGATCCATATGATTAAATTCTACTTCAAATCAACACCAACTCCCATCTTCCCATCTATCACCTTCCCAAAAAAGGGAACAAGATGTGGTAAATCTAATATACTCTTCCTTCTTCCTAAGTTTAGTGTTGAAGTTTAAGGTGGACTCTGCACAAGGGATGAGGGTCTTACTCTGCCTGCACCTTCAGTAACTAAGCTGGCTGATCAGTGAGCTCCATGGATCTGCCTGTCTCTACCTCCAAGTGCTAGGGTTACAGGTTTGTGCCACCATGTCTGGCTCTTTACACGGATGGGAGGGATCCAAAGGAAGTTCTTGGTGCTTATATAGCAGGCACTTTACCTACTGATCCACATCCCTCACCCACTATAGTATTTTCTTAAGTTTAATTTTGTCAGTGAGACAAAAATTAATTTGGGGCTAGAGAGATGTCTCAGCAGTTAAGAGCACTTGCTGCCCTTTCAGAGGACCCAAGTTTGGTTCCTAGCATACACATCAAGCAGCTTATAACTTCATGTAACTCAGACTACAAGAGATCACACCCTCTTCTATCCTCCAAGGGCACTCACACCCAAGGCATACTCACATACACATACATGTGTGTGTACGTGTGTGTGTGTACATACACATAACTATACAGACTGAGCAGGTTATATTTATTTAGAAATATGTATATAAATACATATGTAATAGCAGTTAAAGAAATAGAGGCCATGAATTTGAGAGACAGCAAAGGAGGAGGTGCATGGGATTAGTTGGAGGTAGGAAAGGGAAGGGGAAAAACAATAGAAGTATTTTTTTAATTTAAAAACATGAAAAAAATTTGAGGGGGGGTTTGTTGTTGTTTTTTTCAAGACAGGATTTCTCTGTGTAGCTTTGCGCCTTTCCTGGGAAAAATTTTTAAGGATGTAGATTTTTTTTTAAAGTTAATCTTTTTTTATAAGAAAGAGAATTTCTCACTTCTTAAGCTTCACATATTTGTTCTTTGGCTTTTGTTTTGTGTTGATCATAATATAGAAATTAGGTTAATTGAAATTTCTTCTTTTCTCAGAAATGTCACAGTATGAACAGATATGTTAGAAGATGACCATAGAATGAAAAAAGAATATGAAAATATTGATTCACTAAAAGCTTTAAAAACATATGAGCCTGTCAGTTCCCTTCAGCTATTACCAAGGAAGTTTCTTAATTGCTTACACCTTTTCTACTGTGGGAGAATATAAATATATAGACTTTTACACTCAGCCATGTATTTGTTTTCCTAAAATAAACTGGAATTCATACCATCTATGTAGTCATTTACTATTACTTTCTACTTTTCTGAAGAAACAGGATTTCTTAGGAGTAGAAATGTAATGACTTTATTGCCTTTGTAGTATTTACCAGAAAAGAATTTTTTCTTTCAAAAGTAAAAGAAAGTATTTAATCAGATCACCTCATCATATCCTTTCTCTCAGTATTTCGGAACTGACCCTTTCACTTTTCAGTATTGCATAGTAGAAGAGTGTCATGACTGATTTAAAACAATTGATCTGTTAATCTCATTTATATCTTACCTTCTAAGTCCTACTCTGTCCTTTTCCTCTATGCTCAGGATGCTTGGGATGAGCTCAGTAGTTTTCAGAATGGTGATTCTGTTAACGCCTTTCACCAAAGTATAGAGGCAACAGGAAGTTTCAGAATTTGCAGGTGACACTAAATCTTGCACATAATAAAAATTAATAAGGAGCTTTGCAGAGAGATTGCATTAAAAAAATAGTCATATCAAAAATGGTTTATTCATTACATCAGTGGTTCTCAACCTATAAGTCATGATCCCTCTAGGTGGTCAAAAACCAGATATCCTTCATATCAGTTATTTACATTACAATTCATAACAGTATCAAAATTATGGTTATGAAGTACCAACAAAATAACTTTATGGTTGTGGGTCACCACAACAAAAGGAGCAGCTGTATTAACAAGTCAAAGCATTATGAAGGTTGAGAACCACTGCTCTAAATGTTATTCTTTGTTCTGCATGGTCACTCCAAGGTCTCCATGGTCCTTTTAACCGTATATTATATGTTGATTTTTCCTTTAATTGTGTATGTATAGAGTGTGAGGCACTTGAGACCATGATATGAAATCATTGGCAATACCATAAACTTCGTACTTCATAGATAAACTGTGATCTGTGGCAAAATGACACTTAGATATTGCTAAAACTGGTCAGAGCACTGCTTGTTATCAGAAAAAAAAATTTAAAGACAAAACAAAATGCATATTCTGTCTTCCATGTTAATCTACAGGGGATATTTGATGTAGATAGTTCTGTTGGCCTCACGTTAGAAGGACTTATAGAGTACACCAGATGGCCCAAACTGAGTGTCTAAAGCCTCCCAAAGTGGGCTTTGGATCACTGTGTGTGTTGTCTGAACAGAAATACTTTCACTCTTGTGACATGTTCATAATTGGGAAGTGATTCTTTTAGATCTTACATCTGTAAATTCAAATCATCACTTCTGTTGAGATATATTGTAGACCAAAGACATAAACTTCCAAAAGAGTCAGAATAAGTCCACTGCTAATGAACTAAAATAGAAGATAGAAGTATGTGTGTGAGACTAGGATTATTTCTCTGTAGATCAGGGAAGGCAGGGCTGAATCAAGATAGGTCCTACCTGATACATGCATGTCTATTCTGTCTGTTTGCCCTGTAGGTACCTGCTTTAGGGATATTTTTACCCTTCAGAATGTTCTAGAGGTTTTTCTTTTGAATGTTGCAGCCTGTTATATTTCTAATGATAATTTCTGCTAATTATTACACCAGTCTGTAAAAACTTTTATTCTAATACTGTAAAGAAAAAGACCCTTTTGAAGTTGACCAGTTGGCTTATACTTCCCTATATCATTGTCTTTAAATGATAATAAGAACCACATTTTAGATATAAGGCCAAATTTCTGTTGAGACTGTTCTCCTCACTAATCTTATTCCATAGTAGAAACACACAAAAAACTATTTTCAATTATCTGCTATATGCTTTGCACTTTATTTGTATTATTTAAAAGCCTCACCAACCTCTTCTGGTATAATCATATAAATAATGGAAATTAATTTTAGTAATAATAAGCTGCTTCCTAGGCCATAGTAAGTAGTTCCTTAGGTCTCCCAAATAGCTAATTTTCTCTCCTAGACACATTTTATCTTATCCTTTAGGTCAATTCTATCTACAAGAAAAATTAAATACTAAATTTTAACATCATATAATTTTAAAAATAAGAGTTTTAAGATTATGTGTGATCTTGTAACGTAGATTGTAGGTATTGAATACAAATGTAAATCACTGGCCAAAATAACCATTTCAGTATTCCTTGTTGGAAACATATATTTAAAGTTTTAAACCATCTGATGCTATTTTGAAAAGATTGGGTATTTTATAAGAACCCTTGCCAAGCTTTTTTCCACACCATGAATTAATAAGCTTCATAATTAAGGCAGCTGCTTCACACCTCTATTGTTAACCAGTGACATTACATCTGTCCTCCTCCATTGATGCCCTCCTCCTACTTATTGAAGCATTTAGCAGTTTTGGCAACAGGGATTACAAAGCTTGTAGTTAGTAGTCTAATTAGGTATAAGTGAAAATCCTGAGGGAAAAGTACATTTCAAAAGTAATTTGAAGAATCTCTTAATGATGCTGGCACAACTCCAGAGCAGAAAGTGTCCATCGTCATGGCACAGCAGGGTCAGGTTTAATGTGTTTCGTAGGTGTTTGGAAGGCAACTATTTTAAAACAGCAGTGGAAATGAAAGCTTTCAAAGCTGGGGTTTTATTTCAACATAGTTTTAACTGTGTGCTTCCTTAGGGTATTAATAGCTGAAAGAAAGCAAAAATATATTCCAAATGTACTTACACCTTTTGGATTTCCAAGGGCTTTTTTAATATAAGAATTATTTGTCTGTTGGTATTCCTGTAACTGCACAGAAACATAAAGTTATGCTTCTATATCAAAAACTTAGTGAAATTATCCTTGTTTATATCAAGCATAGGATTATATGCATATATGTCAGTTATTTTACAAATTGTGAATCTCTTACTTCCCCTGAAAGATTTGAATAAAAGAACAGATTTCATACATTAAAATACAGCAATTCCAATGTTTTTAAAGTTTCAGAGCAATATAACATACATATATATATATCAATAAATTTCCAGGTTTGGCAGTACTGCTTTCCTTAAAACCATGCTGACTTATTACAATGGTCATTGTATAACTCTTTCATCAATTGGACAGCCTAGTGCTTAGATCTTGTCATTTTTGTAGTACAACTACAAATCTTTTGGTATTGAATTACTAAAACATGTTTCTCCAACTTATAAGGTAGTTAGAAAAATAAGTGATAATTTTTAAAGAGCTAAACTTAAAATAAGTTCAAATAACAAGCCTATTGTAAATAATACTCTGGGGAGGGTCCTAGCTTGTAAAATGAAAGAGTTCGTTAAAGGAAAGAAATGAAAGGAAGGTTAACTAACAGTGGACACCACCAACCTCAGTGGCCTTCCATTTCCACCTAACCTCGTGGCAGTCACAAGGTCCCATCTGCTGCTCTTTGTCCCATGTGGGGAATCCTGATGTGATACA